AAAAAAAAACAAATAAACAACAAAAACAATCCTACAATGTTCAAAATTGCGCCCTGAAATTACCGTCCAAAGGGTCGAGACCCTGCGTGAGGTACCGACACTGTCACTATATTTATGAATTAAAATTCCGGGTCGGTTTTGGCCTTTTCTGCAAATTTTGATTCTTAATTGGTAAAAACTATTTGGATCCCTCATCTTTTAATAAGTTAACATTTCGATCTTCATAATCCTGATGTCTTTGGTTTAGTCCTAAAAATTTCAATTTCTTACAATTTACTCCTTACCTACACAAAAATAATTAAATATATGTAAAATCAAATAAAATAAAACTAAGAGTGCATTTGAGATTGAGGTTGGAAGTTTTTTTGTATAGGCATACAGTTCTTTTAGATATATATATGTTTGATTTTTTTTTAAGAGTGTTTAAATTATTAAAAAAAAGTAAATATTATATATTTTAATAATTATATATCTTACAATATTTTTAAAATTGTAATTAATAATTAATAAAATTTATCATATTTTATCTACAATATTTTTAAAAAATAAATAATTAAATACAAAAATAATTTTTAGTTACAATTACAATATAATACAATTTAACACAGTTATAATACTTTACAGTAATTTCAAATGCATCCTTAAGGAGGGGTTATCTACTATGGATCATATCAAATTTTCCCACGGATTGAGATTGATGGGTGTTTGATATGATATGGCTAAAAGAGGCGCAGATCAAGATGGCAATTCTCCAGCTTGGTCCCAGACTCTGTTTTCCCTTTAAGGACAATTTCACTTTCTCTTTCACTGCTCTATTCTAATACTGTAGAAAGAAAGTTCTATATTTGTCTCTACATACCCATGAATGGAACCTTCCCTGGATGTGAACTGAAATGTGTCATCAACTTCGCCACCGGCTCTGATAATTATCATTTTTTAGTTCAAAAACAGAGGACCAATCAAAGTTCAGCTACAACAAAACAGAATAGCAGTGCCCTGTTCAAATCCAATGTGATGAGTTTGGTCTTCCACATCGCTTCTTCAATTAATTATCAAAAAGAAACGAAAGTTGGACCCTTAATTAGAGATCCATAATAATAAAAAAAATGATTAGGTTGCCAAATAGATCTGGGCTCTACTTAGAATTGTAGTCAACAAATACTTACTATAAAACAAGTAACGACTAACATGAGGTTTTTTTTTTTTTTTTTAATTGTAGTCAAGGTATCTTGAACTGATATTTTTGAAATTAATTTTTTTTAGATGATCTTAATAGTACATTTAATATATTTAAAAAAAATTAATTTTTTTATATATTAATTTTAAGACATGCATCTTATACGTAACCTTGACTATGCCTATTTTC